GTGGGTGAGGCCGGTCGCCAAGAAGTCGGATGCGCTGCAGGAGTTCGTGCAGTGGCTGGCGGTGACTGAGCGGCAGACGGGGAAGTCGGTGTTGATGCTGTGCTCTGACCGGGGAGGGGAGTTCCTCGGGAAGCAGTTCACCAACTTCGTAAACGGCAAGGGGATCGTCCACGACCTGACCTGCATGGCGGAGCGCGAGATGCGGACGGTGGTGGAGTTGGTGCGAACGATGCTGCTGCACATGGGCGTGCAGCACCACTGGTGGCACCTCGCTCTACGGCAGGCCATCTGGGTCCGCAACTGCCTGGAGCGGTCGACGCTGCAGCCACGGACGACGCCATACTAGCTGCTGACCGGGAAGAAGCCCGACTTGTCGCTGGCACGGGTATGGGGCTGCATGGCGCAGTTCTTGGTCCCCGAGCAGCAGTGTGGTGGAAAGCTGAAGCCAAAGGCTAGGTTGGGCCTTCACCTCGGCGTGTCAGAGGAGAGCAAGGGTTGGGAGCTCCCCGACATTGCCGACAACCGGGTAGTCACCACGTCGGACGTGGTGTTCTACGAGAACATGTCGCTAGAGGTGTGGAAGTCGGAGCACGGGCCGGCGTCGAGCCGGCCACTGACCATCCCGCCGACGGACACCTCGACCGCGACACTCCCTTTGCTCGCCAAGGTCGGTGAGTCTGCTGCTGAGGACGTCGAGGATGTCCCCTTCCCCCCCCCCCCCCTCTCCCGCCCCCTGTGCCCCTCCCCTTGTGGCCGACCTGCGTGGGCTGACTCCGGTGTCGGCCTCCGGCGATGAGGGGAGAAGTGGGACGTTGCCTTCGGCGCCGGGTAAGAGCATTGCCGGTGGCCGACGTGACGTTCAGCAAGTCAACGTGAGAGTGAAGTCGACGTTGATAGGGGAGGAGCAGGCCAAGGAGGTGCAGCCGACTTTGGAGAAGCCGGTGAAGAAGGTACCAGCAGGGCAGCAGCCGACAGGGGAGCAGGCAGCGGTGAAGCCGACCACGAAGCAGTCCGCAACTAGGCAGTCGGCAGAGGAGCCGACCACAAGGGAGAAGTCGGCAGGGACGCTGGCTGAGGTGCAGTAGGACGATGAGGGCAGTGAAGCTGGTGACGATGGAGGGGACGCCGAGGAGTCCACCAACAGTGGCGTGATGGAGGTCCAGCATGGACCACGGCAGTCAGGCCGAATTCGGAGGCCGCCCGACTTCTACGTACCGGCTGCCTTCACCATGGTGTACGATGAGGTCGATGACGACCTGCAGTACGACGACGCCGAGGAGGACGAAGACTTTCTGAAGCTTGACCCCGACATGCACGCCGACCCCGAGCACCGTTAGGACATCTCGACGATGACAGTGAAGGAGGCGTTGGCGAGCTGGAAGGGCAAGGTGGTGAAGGCCGCCATGGAGGAGGAGATCCACAGCCTTGTCGGCATGGGGACGTGGGAGCTGGTCGAACGCCTGCCGGGAGTGAACATCATGAAGAACCGGTGGGTGGTGACGACGAAGTACCACATCAACGACACCGTCGAGCGCGAGAAGGCAAGGCTGGTCGTGAAGGGCTTCACGCAGGTGTATGGCGCCGACTACGACGAGACGTATACGCCGGTGAACAGCTACGTCACGCTGAGGATCTTCCTCAGCATCGTCGCCATCCTCGACTTCAACCTAATGCAGCTCGAAATGAAGAACGCCTTCCTGCAGAGCAAGCTCGACCGGGTGCTGTACATGTACCAGCCGGACTACTTCAACGACGGGACTGATCGGGTGTGCAAGTTGCTGAAGAGCCTCTACGTCCCGAAGCAGTCGCCGTTGTTGTGGTACAGGGCTCTCGACGGTGTGCTGCTGGGCGCTGGTTGGAAGAAGAGCCAGGTCGACACGGCACTCTACTTCAAAGTCAGCGACGACAAGGTGACCTGCTGGGTGCTGGTCTATGTCGACGACCTGCTCGCCGCCAGCAGCAGCGCAGCGATGCTGAAGGAGCTGTTGGAGGCCGCCTTCGAGCTGCGGGAGATCTCGCCGGTGCAGAAGTACCTCGGGCTGGAGATTGTGCGCGACAGGTCGGTGAGGAAGCTGTGGCTGCACCAGCAGGGCTACGCCGACAAGCTGCGTAGGCGGTTCCTCGACGAGGAGCAGAACGGGCGCACCCCGAAGACGCCGGTCTTGGTCGACGCCTATGCCACACTCACCTTCGATGACGAGGAGGCACAGGAGCGCCTGGAGGAAGAGTACCAGCAGAAGGTCGGCTCGCTGCAGTTCGCGGCGACGACGACGAGGCCGAACATCGCCTTCGCCTGCAGCAAGTTGGGGAGCGGCCTCACTGTGAGGAGCGACCAGCACTGGCGCGAGGTCGACCGCTGCCTCGCCTACCTCGCCAACACCCGTGACACCGCCCTAGAGTTCGGCGGTGGAGCAGAGTCGCTGAAGCTGGTCGGCTACGTGGACGCCGACGACGCCGGCGACAAGCAGAACCGGACGAGCACGGGCGGCTACGTGTTTGTCTTTGGAGGGGCCGCTGTCTCTTGGTCGAGCCAGCGCATCAAGTGCGCGACGCTATCGTCGACCGAGTCAGAGTACATGGCGGCAACCGAAGCCGGAAAGGAGGGACGTCGCCTTCACTTCCTCCTTGCAAAATTCCGGCAGCTGGACGCCGGGACGCCGACTATCCTTCGGGTGGACAACAAGTCGGCCATCACAGTCGCCGAGGGCATGGGGTTGACGGGCAACCTCAAGCACATGGAGCGGCGACAAGCCTGGCTGCAGCACATGGTGAAGCGCGGGAAGTTTTCAATCAGGTACATCCCGACCGTTGCTCTACCCGGCCTTCAGCCGTTGCTCTGTTGCAATCGGCCAAGTGCGTCTGGTCGACGTGGGCGACGGTGACAACGACGTGCAGCAATAGGTGCCATGCACTCTTGCATGGCTGGTGCAGTGACCGGGGTGCTGTGTGTTGGGTGCATGCCGACGAGCTATTCCCCAAGTAGTGTTGCCGTCTGGGCTGGCGGCCCAAGCGTGAACGCGGCAAGGGAGTGTCAACGGGAGTTGTTGTTGGCCCCGTCCTCGCTTGGGCGGAACCGACCTCGGGGTCGGGTGTGAGGAGTGCAGCCGACCTGTAACAGTGGGCGAGCTGGTCGACGGGCCTGGTTGACCTGCACAAGGGCCACTGCAAGGGCGTCGACTTTGGGAGGGCGCCAACTTCGGCTGGTCGACTTGGGAGGTCGACCGGTGGAGGGCGTCGACTTGGGTGATGCCGACCAGGGGAAGCCGACTGGGTGTGGTCGGCTGACAGGTGTTCTGGTCGACCTGGAGTTGGTCGACCAGGTGGGTTGTCGACCTGGAGCTGGTCAACCAGATGGGTTGTCGACCTGGCGTTGGTCGACTAGGGGAGTGGTCGACCTGGTGTGGTTGACATGTGGTGATCGTCGACTTGGGCGGTCAACAGGCCTGGGATGACACACCTGGTCGACATGGCTGCCTGGTTGACTAGGTTACCCGGACGACGAGGTCTGCGAGGTTCGCGGCTGTCGCCCAAGTAGATTGGCAATGTTGACATGCGGTTTGGTGACACGTGGTCAACAGGACTCCTCAGGTGCAACCGTCGACATGTGGTCGACTTGGCACCTGCGCAATGTGCGTGGCGGTGCATGTCGTTGCCGTCACCGTGCACCTGCAAAGTAGGTGCGCGCACATGAGCACGTGTGGTGACCTGTGGTGGCCTGTTGTTGGTGTGCTGGCACACCAGCCTTGCAGGTCGACTGAGGACGCCCGAGGATGCCTGAGGTCGACCAGCTGGCAAGTCGCCTTCGTGCTGAGCTGGTGGTCGACTTGTATGCTAGGCTTCTGATGTAATCTATCTTGCCAATCTATTTGCTACCATTGTTCTCAACTTTTGCTAGTGAAACTCTTGTGGTTTTGCCCCCTGAATGCACAAGTGCTAGAGAACGACTAAGGGAACGAACGCAGAGATCCCTCCTATCCCGTGCCTAGCCCATAGCCTAGCTTCCGCTGATAGAGTTCTCTCCGCACTTTCCACAGGACTTCCGTCACCTAGACTATGGGGGTGTGTCAAACTATATTTCTATATAGTTTATATAGTTTTAGTCTAGGTGTTGTACATTCTCTTTCTTGTGCTAGAACTGTTGATAGGGTTTGCTATAACTTGTTTGTACCTTCATTCCATAGTTGGCATTTGACATTGTGATACTGCTGCTTCCACTTCCACTGCTGCTGCTACTGTTGCTCTTTCTGATGTTGCTGTTCCTACTGTTCAATTCACTCCCACCAACACCACCACCGCTGCTGCTGCTGCTCGCATTCCTCCTGGCACACCCCCATACTGTTGCCACGCCCATCTCACCCGCTGTTGCATTCTGCTGCGTCCCTTGCACCACCGCAAACCACGTCACATTCACCAACCTCGTCCCACTCGCTTTCTCACCTTGTGAAGTATCAGGCGTGGCGTCACTATTGTTTGTCAGCCCTAGATCTAGTGCGTGCGTGGCATAGTGTGCCGCCATGCGGGTGGTGTTATCTACTGCCAGCAGTGTGAGCGTGTACTCTCTGAACCCAGGTATCACCACCTGTGCCTCCAACACCGAGATCAGTAGCAATGTTGTGCCCTGTGGGGGGAGAAGGCAAGGAAGGAAGCTAGTAGCAGCAGTGTGAGCGTGTACTCTCTGTACCCAGGTATCACCAACCATGCCTCCAGCACAGAAATCAGCAGCAGCGCGCTGCCCTGCGGGGGGAAGAAGGGGGGTGTGTGAAGGCAAGGAGGGGAGCCAGCAGCAGCAGTGTGAGGGTGTACCCTCTGTATCACCAACTGTGCCTCTAGCACCGACATCAGCAGCAGCGCGCTGCCCTACGGAGGGAAGAAGGGTGGAGAGATGGCAAGGAAGGAAGAAGACAGTGTTACTGGGCCTGAGCATGGGTCTGAGCATGGGTCAGAGCATGGGTCAGAGTGAAGAGAATGAAGTGCATAGTGGATCATGTGAAAGGGGGATTTTATCCCATCCCATCACTCATCTGTCTCTTATATGCACTCGCCACCGCCTCTCGTGCCACTCGCTGCACATCCGCATCTGACAGGTCAACGTAAATCAACATGTTGCCACACGGAGGGGGGGTAACCGGCACCACGTGCCTGAGCGCCGCCTCCTGCTCCTCCCGCGTGCTCGCATGCCCCGACCCTGCCTGCTGCACCAACGACTTCAACGTGTACTCCCATCCCTCCCCTCCTCCCTCCCCTCCTCCATTTTCAGCTGTTGCTGCTGTTGCTGCTGCTGTTGCTGTTAATGGAAGGGCAGCAGCAGGGAGCGCGGATCGCGCGGCCACGAGAGGAGGGTGGGAGAGGAGAGCATTGAATACGGTAGTGCGGCCGCGCAGCAGGTTGAGAGCCGCCAATGACACACGGTACTCCTCCCCGCATGTGCTGGCATTGCCTGCGCTCGGGCGGTACACATCGAGAATTCCGACTGGCTGTAGGCTGTCGTTCTAGCGTGGAGAAGCGGGAGATGGGGAGAAGGGGAGACGGGAAGACGGGAAGAAGGGGAGACGGGGAGGAGGGAAGAATGGGAGAAGGGGAGACAGGGAGAAGGAAAGGGGGAAGCGTTCAAGAATGAACGGAAGGGAGGGACTGTGCTACATTGGGGATATGGGAGAAAGAATACGCTGGAGTGGGGACGAGAAGCAAAGCAGAAAAGTGCTCTTGAAACATGGAGTGTCGCCCGTCGCCCGTTGCTTGTCGACTGTCGCCCGTCGCCTGTCGCCCGTCGCTTGTCACCTCTCGCCTCTCGCCTGTCGCCTACCTCGCCGTGGCCTCGTTCTGCTGCGTCGCGGTGAGTCAGCATGAGTTCAAGAGAAAGAGTACAACACCCGATCGAGACTCTCAAGACGAGAGTACAACACCTGTTGCAAGAGAGTACAACACCTGTTGCAAGAGAGTACAACACCTTTTGCAAGAGAGTACAACACCTGTTGCAAGAGAGTACTTTGCACTTGGAACGGATCAAGGCGAGGCGAGGCGAGGCAAGGCTCACCTTGGCGGCGTTGTGCTGTGCCATGGTGAATCGCGCCAAGGCTTCTACGGTTGGCATCTTGAATGGTCGTGAATGGTCTTGAGTGGTTACTACTAACGCCTGGTTCCGCATCAACCCTCTCCTGAATTATCAAAAGCTTGTGAGTCGAGTGGCGCATGGGAGACTGTCCGAACACATCTCGCTGAAGTTCTTGGCCTAATATGACAGTCCCGTCCCCGTTGCCCTGAGAGGCATGGTGGGAGGGCGACGGCATTCGCGGAACAAGCCATTGCGGAGTCAGCAGATTTGTGAGAAGATGAGGGAAGGAGATGAGGGAGGACGACTTTGACGACGAGGAACGCCAGCAGCGCATGTGACGGTGGCAAGGAAAGGAGATTTTTGTTCTGATTAGCAGCAGGGTCGGCGGTCTGGTGTGGTCTGGTATGTGTGCTAGAATTTCACAATTGTCAACGAAGTTGAGAGGAAAAGGTGAGGGAGACTCGTGGCGATGTTTGGCACTCGCCCAGGTGTGAGTTACATTTTTTTGCTACGTGTCGTGCACATCCGCTGACTGGGGTTCCCTGCTAGCAGACATTGGCGCACTGGCGGGGACTTGGGTGGGAGGAATTCGGAAATTGACACGCGGTAACTGGCTACTTGATAAACGAAAGTTATAGCCTGATTTCTTGGAAGGAATCTCGGATTTCACAAGTCAAAGCTCGGCACAATATGCGCTGGTTACCATTTAGCCACGTTACAAATTCTGGGTGCCAGTGAGCTCAATGAGTGGTTGTCATCTCCAAACTCCTGGGGAGTTAGAGCCTTTTGATTGGATTTCTAACAACGAAGGCGATTTTCCAAATCCAAGACCTTCCCAGCCGAGGGTCAGAACAGTTCGGAGCCACTCGATCAAGTCTTGATTGGCCGCCACAAACGTTCGATCTTCTTGCCCAAATCCGAGAGTTCAACAGCGCTCCCATCTGTCTGTAGCAAACCATTGCCAACCCTTGCTGCGTTGTGAACTTGTGTCGTGAGGCGAGGCGACTCCTCTGCAACTGGTAGAGATTTCGCCCTCCCTTGCTTGAAAACCAAAGCGACTGGTTATCGAAACGAGTGGCTGATACGTGTAATTTGGTATGGATGTGCTTTTTCAACTGACTGACAAATTACATCTCAGGCGATTAGCGATGCGCTGCAGGCGGTCCTTGAAGTGGCTTTACTCGCCGGCGTGGCGAGTGTCACGGTCACAGAGGTGTGGAGGAGGAGGGGAGTGCTTCGTGATTTCATGACGGTTGGGGAGTAACTCAAGCAATGTATAGGATCAGCAACAGATTTCGTTACGAATCCACCACAACGCAAGCAACACAACTCAGTTCACCGCCAATAGCCTACCGCTGCTAGCGTGAAAGCGGCCAGAATCGAGTTGGGCTTGCTTGAGTCTCGTGGTGGATTCGTAACAAACAGAGCTGTTTCTTGATTGAAACCCTCCTGTATTCAAACGCAGTTTTTGCATAATCGCCGGCCCTTGCGTAGCTGATCGTTGGCGCTGATGGCTAGCCATGGAGATGAGGTAGCTCTCAGTCTTACAGCCGAGAATCATCATGAGGTGAGAATGATGCTGCAAACAATATCACACCATTCCTAGCTGAGTCCATCGCACGAGGGACGCAGGACCTCGCGTTTCGTTCGACTTTTTAATCGACTAAAAAATAAACTGCATAATCGGAGTAACTTTCCCAGCGCATCACAGCAGGAAGCAGGCAGCACCTCCGGTGCCAATGGGAGTGGACTTTTGAGTCGACTCAAAAATAAACTGCAGAATTGGGGTAACTCCTCGGAGAAGCAACATGTGGAGGCATTGAGGGCCTTCGGCTCCTGCTGGCCTCTGCTGCGCTGCGCCATGGTCTGCAAGAGGCTCCTCTACCATGTCGCCTCCTTCTCCGTGAGTCATCATGCACACTGCGCTAGTTCCCTTGTTCCAATTACTTAATGTCCTCCAGTAATATGTCGCCTCCTTCTCCGTAAATCGCAATGCGCTTCTTCCCTCATTCGGCCCGCCTGTCCCTTCACCTCCTTGTCGCCTCCTACTCTCTGGGAATCACGATCGGCGCTGCTAACTTAGTTTCCGTGCTTCCAAGCTCAGAAGCTGCCATCGTGAGTCATGATTGTTAGAATCGTAGGAGCCATGGCTAGGGTGTGAGCTAGCCAAGGATGTCGAGAGAGTTCAGGCAAAGGAGAAAGTCGAGAAAGTGAGAAGTGATGATGCACTAAGGGGCTTAAGGCCCAAGTTATACAAGAGACAAGTAAGGAGGGGGTGCACCATAAGCAGGACAGTGATATAACTACACTACAGCTAGAACTACATGCAGTTATACAGAAATATATTCTGACACACCCCCTAACTGCATGCAGGAATAGTCATGTGCATAACACCCCCTGAAGGGGTACACCAGGCGCAGTGGAGGAAGGAGAGGGCAAGCGAAGAGGAGGAGGGACCATGAGAGGAGAGGAGGTGGTGGGTGGCGGCTGAAGCTGCTGGCACACGGGCAACTGGAGCAACTGGCACACTGGCAAATGGAGCAACTGGCACACGGGCAACTGGAGTAATTGGCTCTGCGGCTAAGCAAGCAGCAGGAGCAACTGACTCACGGGCTACAGGAGCAACGGGCTCACGGGCAACTGGCGCAACGGTCTCACGGGCGACTGGAGCTGCTGGCTTCACTGCGCCCACCCCCCTACAACTTCCCCCATTCCCCAAAACCTCTCTGTCACACCCCTCAGCATCCCTACTGCCACTCCCTCAACTCCCCCACACCCTTCCCCCCCCTCCCCACAGCGGCATGTGCAGCAGTGGGAGAGAGAGGAGGAGAGGCGGCAGCAGTTCACTCACACCCGCCACCCCCATACCCTCCCCCCCACTGCTGCACCCGCAGCAGGGGGGTGGAGGAGAAAGGGGGGGGGGGGGGGGGGGCGGGGGGGCTGGTGCTGCAGATTCCCTCCCCCCACTGCTGCACCCGCAGCAGAGGGATGGAGGAGAAAGGGGGGGGGGGGGGGGGGGGAGGGGGGGCTGGTGCTGCAGATCCCCTCCCCCCCACTGCTGCACCCGCAGCAGGGGGATGGAGGAGAAGGGGGGGGCGGGGGGGGGGGGGCTGGTGCTGGAGATCCCCTCCCCCCCACTGCTGCACCCGCAGCAGGGGAATGGAGGAGAAAGGGGGGCTGGGGGGCTGGTGCTGCAGATCCCCTCCCCCCCACTGCTGCACCCGCAGCAGGGGAATGGAGGAGAAGGGGGGGGGGGCTGGTGCTGCAGATCCATTCCGGCCACCCCCTTGCCCTCCAAGAGCCCACCACCCCCATACCCGCCCCCCCCCCCCCCCCCCCCCCCACTGCTGCACCCGCAGCAGGGGGATGGAGGAGAAGGGGGGGCGGAGGGGCGTCAGTCGCGGGCGTAGGGGTGTTGGGCGACGGGCCGGAGCACGTGGGCTAGGGGCGACGGGCCGGGCTAGGAGCGACGGGCCTACGGGCCGTGCTAGGGGCGACGGTCCGGCCTAGGGGCGACGGGCCTAGGGGCGACGGGCCGTGGCGACAGGCCTAGGGGCGACGGGCCGGGGCGACGGGCCGAGGGGCAACGGGCGACGGGCGTCGGGCCGGGACCGGGGCCTAGGGGCGACGGGCCGAGGGGTGACGGGCTAGGGGCCGGGGCCTAGGGGCGTCGAGCGACGGGGCCGGGCCTAGGGGAGCGACGGGCGACGGGGCCGACGGACCTAGGGGCGGCGGGCGCGAGCGACAGGCCGGGGGCTGGAGTCTAGGGGCGACGGGCGTAGGGGCGACGCGCGACGGGCGACGGGCCGGGACCGGGGCCTAGGGGCGTCGGGCGCGAGCGACGGGCTAGGGACCGGGGCCTAGGGGCGACGGGCCGAGGGGCGACGGGCCTAGGGGCGACGGGCGCGAACGACGGGCCGGGGCCGAGAGCTAGGGGCGACGGGAGCGGGGCGACGGGCCGGGGCCTAGAGGCTACGGGCGACGGGCCGTGCCGAACGTCGAGAGGAGGGCCGCACGAGGGCGGCGCGCAGGGCAGCAGGTGGTGGGCCCAAGGGTCGTAATCACTCTAATACCATGTTAGAATCGTAGGAGCCATGGCTAGGGTGTGAGCTAGCCAAGGATGTCGAGAGAGTTCAGGCAAAGGAGAAAGTCGAGAACGTGAGAAATGATGATGCACTAAGGGGCCAAAGGCCCAAGTTATACAAGAGAGAAGTAAGGAGGGGGTGCACCACAAGCAGGACAGTGATATAACTACACTACAGCTAGAACTACATGCAGTTATACAGAAATATATTCTGACAATGATTGCATGCCATCGTACAATTTCTCACGCCTTGCCATGGCGAATTTTTTCTCTGGGTGCTTAGCTATGCGGTCATGGCTAAGATCCTCAACCATCTTCCTATCCATCTTCGTATCTATCGCTGTCCGTTTCTCTCTCCATCTCTCTATCCATGTCTCTCTCCATCTCTCTGTCACACCTTGCGTGAGCAGGACTTCGAGCCCATGACGCTGCCAGTCAACACCCAAGACCCTGCGCTCACACGTCCTTCAGGAACGCTTTCTGTCTTCCTCAGGCACGTGCCTCACACGCCCCTTAATGTTGAGCTCAACAGCTCCCAGGACCCTCTGCACGCTCCTCCCTCACAAACCTGTGCATTGGGGTCAAGGAAACTCTTGGGGGAATCGAGGAGAAGCACCTGATGAATCCGGCCTTTCTCGATCCAGCGAGGTTCCGGGGTCTGAGGAGTCTGGGCATCCACGATTTCGAGTGCGACGAAAATGCTCTGTCCTTCCTCGCATCCCTCACACCACAGCTGCATGAATTCTCTCTCACCTCCTCTAGCCATGGCTCTAACATTCTCACCCTCGATTTCAAGTTCACTGCTGCTGGAGCTATCGCAGTCTGCTTTGAGGAACAAGAGCTCCACCTCCACTTCGCCCTCCCTGCCTCTTTGAAGATCTTCGGTGCCACTGCGGCGTGTCTCAACGTAGATTGCACGTGCGACAGCCCCCTCTCTCTCGACACCCTCAGTCTCATTGGCCGCTCGCAGCTTCTCGTTTTTTCGCTCCCATTGGCTTCCGCCAAATTAGCCTACTTGAAAAGTCCAAACAATGAAGAAAACCAGGTTGCTCTGCGCAGGCACTTCCCCTCTTTGAAAATGTGCACCAATGATCATCCTTTGTTCTTCACTACTTCTCGTTCGCTCTCCTTGGAGGATGCTTGAGGCGCCTCAGAAAAGGCTTCCTTCTTTAGCATTCTTCAGCAATGTTGATCGTTTGTTCCGCTGGGTGAACCTGTGTGGTGCGTGCTGAAGTCTTGGCGATGGGATGGCCATAGGATGCCAATGGGATGGCGATGAGTGCTAGCAGTGGGGGTGGCAGTGGTGGGCGTCGTTGGGGGTGGCAGTGGGCGGGTTTCATGATGGTGTTGTCTGCTGCCTGCTGCTCTGCTGCTTGCTGCCTGCAGTAAAGCACAGGAGTTAATGTATATTTGCATGAATTGATGCTTTGTATTAAAACCGGGGTGCACATTCAGCTGAATGTGCATCAAAGGTTATCCCTTGACTGAGTGGGTTACGAGGTGTGCTTTCAACCCCTTCAAGTCGAAATTCGTTTCCCCCCTCCCCCGCAATTTCGTTTCCCCACGCCCCCGCAATTTCATTTCCCCCTCCCCGTCGAAATTCGTTTCCCCCCTCCCCCGCAATTTTGTTTCCCCCCTCCCCCGCAATTTCGTTTCCCCCCCCTCCCGCCAATCTGTTTCATCCCTCCCGCCATTCGGTTTCACCCACTCCCGCCATTTCACCCCCTCCCGCCACCTACGAAATGCCCGAAGCTCTAGCGGAATCATTTTTTTGTCGCCCCTCGTGAGCCAATCACTGTTTTTCTCCAAACCCCCTTCCCAACATCTCAAGCCGAACCGCGTTGAATGTGCACCCTGGTTTTAAAGCCGGCGGCCCAAATTGTTCATGCTTTTAAAAGTTGACCAGAGGGAGTTTTTCTGGTGTGGGCTTTGGCGAGAGTTTCCGATTTCGTCTAGGTTCGTTTTTTTCGCGAGACCCAGCCAACCCTCGGTTTTCCCCCTGGTGAGTGAATCTGTCTTCGAAAGTCCCAAATTGCAGGTGCGTGACTTTCAAAAGCTTGGACACTCAACTTCGTCAAGTTTTAAAAACTTGACCCTCGCGGCCCGCAATTTGGGACGCGGGCTTTAATGTTTTCTGTTTGGCATATTGAATGCTTCTGGCATCCAGCAATGCACAGAGAGCCCACATACCCGCACAGCACATGTGTAGCCCCGATAATGTGATGGGGGTCGTGTGTACTTTTGGTGAAGCATTGACTTTAACGAGTGTTACAGCGATGCAAATGGCACCCACCCACCCATGATACCATCTCTACAAGAGAGCCACCGCGAGGCCAAGGGAGACAAGCCCACGAAGCAATGTTACAAATCCCACCGGTGCAACTACAGAAGAATAGCCAGCCTTGGGCACTGTGGTGCAGTTAGCAAGGAGGATGTGACCCGGGGGTGGGGAAGCACAGTCAATGAGCAACAATCCCTCCTGCTTTTGCTTCCCACTCCCCTCACCGTCTCCCCCATCCAACAGGAAGAAGTCAACCAGGCGGTGAGCCGTGAAGGGCACCGCCTGCCACACCACCACCTTCACCACCACCACTTGCTTCCTTGGCCCCTCTTCAGCTGCACCTACCCCTACTGCCTTGGCTTTGGTTCCAGGCACTGTCAGCAACACTGCCGGTGCCGTTGTTGCAGGTGCTGTTGCTGCAGGTGCCGTTGCTGCAGGTGCTGCATCCACCGCTGCTGTTACAGTCACGCTGTAGTTGATCCCTGACCCCTCCACCACATTCGCCCTCGCTACAATAACATCCAGCAGAGTCACATTCGAGGGGAGGCTGCTGTTTCGATTGACTTGATCCAGGGCAAAGAGAGCGAGAGAGCGCATGGAGAAACCATTGTAGGCGTCGGTATAGGGGGCGGTAACGGAGGCATTAGAGGAGGCATTAGAGGAGGCATTAGAGGAGGCATTAGAGGAGGCATTAGAGGAGGCATTAGAGGAGGCATTAGAGGAGTCAGCAGTGGCGGAAGCGGGGATGAGCACCCACCCCTCATCCACACACACCCCTGCCATGGCCTGTGCCAAGTCCCACTGCACCACCCCACCACTGCCACTGCTGCTACTGCTGCTGCTGCTGCTGTTGCTGCCGCTGTTGCTGCTGCTATTGCTGTTGAACGCTGCCGCTGCTGCATTCCCAACACCACCAGCGCTGCTGCTGCTCCCGTTCCTCCCGGCACACCCCCCTGCTGCCGCCACGCCCATCTCCCCCGCTGTTGCATTCCGCTGCGTCCCCGGCACCACCGCAAACGCCGTCACATTCACCAACCTCGTCCCACTCGCATTCCCCCCTTGTGAAGTATCAGGCATGGCGTCGATGCTGTTATCCAGAGCGTGCGTGACATAATAAGCTGCCATGCCGGTAGTGTTATCTGCTGCCAGCAGTGTGAGATTGTACTCTCTGTATCTGTATGATAGTACCACCACCTGTGCCTCCAGCACCGAGATCAAAAGCAGCGCTGTGCCCTGTGGTGGGAGGGAAGGGAAGGAGGGGAGCCAGCAGCAGCAGTGTGAGGGTGTACTCTCTGTGTCTGTATCCCGGCACCACCACCAACACCTGTGCCTCCACCACCGAGATCAACAGAAGCGCGCTACCCTGTGTGTGGTGTGGAGGTGAGGGAAGGAGGGGAGGGAAGGAGGGGAGCCATCAGTGTGCCACACCAAATACGGCGAGTGGTTGGGTCTTGGGATAGGCCTTGGGATGGTTACTCTCTGTATCCCGGCACGACCACCTGTGCCTCCACCACCGGAATTTGCAGCAGCGCGCTGCCCTGCAGGGGGGAGAGGGTTGGAGAGAGGGCGAGGAAGGAAGCAGACAGTGTTACTAGGTCTCAGCATGTGCCTGAGCATGTGCCTCAGCGTTAAACCCCCAGCAGCGAGATCAGTGGCAGAGTGCTGCCCTGTGGGGGGCGAAAGGGGGGTGGAGAGAGGGCAAGGAAGGAAGTAGACAGTGGTATTGCGCCCTCTAGCAGCGAGATCAGTGGCAGAGTGCTGCCCTGTGGGGGGCGAAAGGGGGGTGGAGAGAGGGCAAGGAAGGAAGTAGACAGTGGTATTGCGCCCTCTAGCAGCGAGATCAGTGGCAGAGTGCTGCCCTGTGGGGGGCGAAAGGGGGGTGGAGAGAGGGCAAGGAAGGAAGTAGACAGTAATATTGCGCCCTCCAGCAGCGAGATCAGTCGCAGAGTGCTGCCCTGTGTGCCGCCCCATCCCACCCCACCCCATCCCATCCCATCCCATCACTCACCTGCCTCTCATTCTCACTCGCCACCGCCCCTCGTGCCACTCGCTGCACGTCAGCATCTGACAGGTCAACGTAAGTCAACTCATTGCCACACGGCACGGGCGGCAGTGACACCACGTGCCTCAACGCCTTCTCCTGCTCCTTGCGCGTGCTCTCACGCTCCGACCCGGCCTGCATCGTGAACCACCTCAACACGTACTCCCCTCCCTCTCCCCCTCCTGCCGCTGCTGCCGCCGCCGTTGTTGCTGCTGCCACTGTTCCTCGTCCTTCTCCTTCTGCTGCTGCTGCTGTGGTTACCACCGGTGTGGCTGCTGCTGCTGCTGCTGTTGCTGTTAATGGAAGGGCAGCAGCAGGAAGCGCGGATTGCGCGGCCACGAGAGGGCGGCGGGAGAGGAGAGCGTCGAAGAAGGCAGTGTGGCCACGCAGCAGGTTGAGAGCCGCCAGTGACACAAGGTACTCCTCCCCGCCCGCGCTTGAGTTGCCTGCGCTGGCATTGCCTGTGCTGCCATTATCTACATACTCTACAGACATAATCCAGACCGGTTGTAAGCTGTCGTTCTGGCGTGGGGGGGCGGGAGAAGGGGGGGAGGAGAGGAGGGGGTGAGGGGAGGAGAGAAGAGATTGAGGAGAGAAGGGAGGGAGGGAGAACGGGGAGAAGGGGGGATGGGAAGAAGGGCAAAAGGAGCAGCTGTGCTGCTGTGCTGCTGTGCAGCTGTGCTGCAAGCAAGGGACTCTTTAAAGGTGCAACCCTCAGCCAGCTCAAGTTCAGGAGTGCTACTCTTAAAAGGAGAGTCGCCTGTCGCCTGTCGCCTGCCTCGCCGTGGCCTCGTTCTGCGGGTCGTGGTGAGACAGCTGGAGTTGAAGAGTGAGATGCAACACTTGTTTTTGAATCATCTCAAACCCGCGTGTGACGAGACTGTTTACGAGTCGACTAAAAAACAGACTCATCACACGCAGCGGTGAGACAGCTGGAGTTGAAGAGTGAGACGCAACACTTAAATTGAGAGCGAATCGCGCCTCACCTTGGCGGCGTTGTGTTGTGCCACGGCGAAGCGCGCCATGGCGATTTGCTCCTCATCAGTTAGCCAGTGAAAGTTGGGCTCCCAATCAGGGTTCGGAGGGGAGCCGTCTGCTGCTGCCGAGAACATAGGCGGAAGACACGCACGACACGTGGATGCCACGTGGGAAAGGATAAGGAGCCACAGCGGAAAAGTCAAGCACCGCCGAGTGGCAACGCGACGGCTCGTCATGATCGCCGTGTTTTCTCGAGTGAATCTGAAGCGAGCAAGCTCTCAGTTCGCGTGACAGATAAGCGTCAGCACTGGAACGGGGCCCGCGTTCACCGGAACATACACTGGGTGTTTGCTCTTGCAACAGGAATTTGCGACTGGCAAGTTGAATGGATATCAAGCGTCTGCTTCCGCAAGATTGTATTATTTCAACCCTCTCCTGAATCATGAGAAGCTTGTGAGTCGAGCGGCACATGGGAGACAGTCTGAACGCATCTCGCTGAAGTTCGTAACCTAATATATGACGGTCCCGTCCCCGTTGCCTCAAGAGACATGGCGTTCGCAGCGGAAGCCATTGCAGAGTCAGCAGAGGATGTGAGAAGAAGATGAGGAGGGAGGGTGATGAGGTTGAACGGATTTGACAATGACGACCACGCAGTGCACGTGGCGGTGGCGAGAAAAAGGAGTCGTATTTCCTCGGCTGGGTTGCTCTCATCCCGAGGAGACTTATGGGACTGGTGACAAACTCGAGGAGAATAAGGTGAGAAATGTCGTGGCTGCCCATGTGTGAGTTACATATTTCGCACAGTGTCGCGCAGCTCGGCTGTGGGAAGGGGAAGCTACACAGATGTTCTCGTTTATAGTCCGGCGGAATGAGACGCCGCGCGCGGACTTGGTGCGAAAACCTTCAAACCCTGGGCAAAACGCGATACTTGTAGTCCCGTTCAGGAAACTTGCATAAAGATTGGTTTGTTTGCTACTAGTTTTTGGATTTCATCTTTTACGTAGATTCGGACCACGCTTGCTTCAACTTCTTGTCGCACGGTTCCCCGCACTGATCAATGTTGCATGACTAACGGGAAAAAAAAAATCAATTATGCTTTGGGGGTCGAATAGAAGGTAAAAACTTCTGTTTTACCCTGTAAGCGAGATAAATGATATGTCATCGTCGAGAGCGCTGGAGACCGCGCGACAGGATTGAAAAGTAATCACGGTCAAGAGAAACAATTACTTACAATTCCAAAGTTAAATATCAAATCGATGATCCCTTATTTATCGTTTTCCCTGAATGTTGGGTTGGTTCGATTTGGAGCCAGGGCTGATTTTATCAGGGTAATTACCCTGATTTCAGGGTGATTTCAGGCTTCTCACCTTGTGATCCTTGTGAAATCAGGTTTTTCACATTTTGGTCCCTGATCCATTCAGAGTATTGATTTAGCGGAGCCTGAAATTCTCAATACACTCTCAGTGTAGTGTTTTCATGGACCCTGTCAATACAGAGTACGCGACCTGTGGACCCTGAAAGTGATGTTATCTGAACGAAGCTTCGTAGAAGCTTCGTTCCGATCCCCCCCCATGTGGGTAATTATGATTTCGCACCTAACCATGTGGGGGCTTCGTTTCACGCGCACTAGTGACAAGAACTGACACAGAACACAACTGTCCTTTGTACAGCATCGATGTACAGCACAGCTGTCAAATTTGGCAGCGCACCTAGAAGCATCATATATACTGCCACGCGCACCGCGCAAATCACAATACGTGTCCCTCATTGGAGGGAAACACTTTGTGGCTGTCGTCGCTGGCAGTGAAGCAGTCGTTCAATGTATTCGGCCTGCATGAAAGGCTGAATACAATGACGGCTCGTTGTTTCGACCACCGCGCCATCAATTTCGTGGCGACGCGGTGGATTCTTGCTGACCCCACCTTCTCCCTCCATCTCTTGCTTCCCCCCTCCCACAGCCAGGGTCTTGTTGGTGCTGCTGTTATGTTCCCTTTTGTCAATTCATTTCTCCGTTTCTCTCTCTCCCCATCTCTAGCTTCTCCCCGCCATGGAAGGCCAGCAGGCTGACGAGGACACGCCTCAGGCTGGCTCAGATGAGCCACCGTTACCGCCGAAAGCCACGGAGCCACGCTCGGGGATTGATTTTCTTAGAGGTTCCGCTGCTCCAGTAACACCGGATCCACCTAGGTCTACCGTAGATGATTCTCCAGTTAAAGACACGCCCACGGCCACACCTGAAGAGTCTCCCCGGGAGGCCGCCTTCACTATACCCCCGGCTGTTGCTTCTTGCAGCAAAGATCCCCAACCGACCGCGCCAAGTCCCACTCCAAGCACCGTTGGTGTGTCCTTTGGTCCTCCGTCGGCTACCTCCACACCGAAGAGAGCGCGTTCATGGAAGTGGGCGCAGCATACCCTGCTCGTCGAAGGCCGCCGACTTTCTGCTTCGAACACTCCGGCTGATCCACCACCTGCTGCATCTGCACCGCCAGAGGAAGATGTGTTCCCGATCCGCGCGGACACCGGCTCGCCCGCCCTCACCAAGGCGCAGCTCCGGGAGCAGATGTTCCTGGAGGCCAGCATCATGTACGATACGAGGTGGTCGGGACAGTTCTCCTGGCTTGTGTTCGGAAAAACCAAGGATGGGTTTCCCTATGTGAAGTGCAGTGTCTGCATGGCCTACGGGAAGGAGAACACGAGGTACGCGAGGCAGGGTGATGACGGAGGCCGTGACATGCAGACGCAGGCGTTTCGCGCACACGAGCACACGGATGCGCACAAAGCGGCTGTTGACCGGCAGCTGAAGATTGCGAGAGGCATCCGCGAGGGGCAGCAAGTGATTTCGAACTTCATCAACTCGGACGTTGAGGGCAGGCGCGCCGTCCGACTGTTGCGGTCGGTTGTGTTTCTGTGCAAGTGCGACGCGCCGATAAGCATGTACCCTAGGCTGATGCGGCATCTCGCGGAGCAGGACACGCCCGACATCGCGAGACAGTCTTACGGTGTTTATCTCACACGGTAGGACATTTTAGTTACAATCTTGCTGTATTGAATTCGTGGTAATGAAATATTTTCCCCCAGAAAGACTAACTGAAAGACCTACATCTCTGCGCAGGTACAGCTTCCAGCAGATGGTTCACTGCCTCAGTACGTACTTGACGAATGCGCAGATGGACCACATCAACTCCTCACCGTTCCTGGGCCTGCAATGCGACGAGAGCACTGACCGAACGCGTGGTAAACACATGATTGTTTACCTGACCTTCATCAAGGACCGCCGAGTCGTCACCGAGTTCTTCACCCTCTTGACTGTGGAGAAGTGTGATGCTGCGTCCCTGTTCGAGGTGCTCATGAATCATCTGCGCTCCGCAGCCGTCGACGTGTCAAAGCTTGTCGGAATCAGTACGGACGGGGCTTCTCTCATGACGGGGAAGGACAACGGATTGGTGGCGCGGATCAGGGAGCACGCCCCGCATCTCTTTTCTTGTCACTGCATCGCGCACCGGTAAGATTTAGTGCCAGTTATTGATCCAGTTCATGTTGCTTGCCTGATTTCTACTCAACAATTATTAATGTTGTCTATTGCAGGGAGGCGCTGGCTGTTAAGGACGCGGCGACGTCCAACCCCGACCTCGGCATGGTGGACAAGGTGGTGCGCACCGTGGCGGCAAAACTAGGAGATTCTTCAGTCTGGAGCCAACGGTTCAAGTTGTGAAGAAACAGGAATGAATTGAACTAGGAAAGTGTGAGATACAAATATAAAACCTGTACCCCTTAGTGTCTACCCCACTACAGCCTACACAGGCTAAGGCATATATATCTGACACACCCTGATAGGCAAAGTGGGGGAGAACTAGGGGTCACAAGACCAGTCAAGCAAAGCAAAGCAAAGCAAGCTCAGGGTGGATCACAACGTCACCACACAGTCTGAGCACCGGTTCAAAGGCCACAAGGCCAGTTCACATGCAAGTTCATATATAAAGGTAAACAAGCAAGTGCAGGTATATATAGATCACAGTACAAGGAAAGTCAAGAGGTAAGCAAGTGAGGCCAAGTAGGCACAAGACCTAGCATAGTACAGAAGCGCTGATGATCACAAGGCTGAAGTGCCTTGGTAAAGATATCAGCAGTGTTGGCCTGAGAGGCCACGTAAGCAAGGCGCAGCTGACCACGCTGCTGCAGGTCACAAGCAAGGAAGTAGCGAAGAGCAATGTGCTTCGTTCTGTGCTCCAGTCTGTGCTCCCGTCACAAGGCCAGCATAGCCTTGACGTACAGAACTGGAGGAGAACGAGGCGGCTCTCCCAGGTCAGTCAGCAAGTAGGTGAGCCAGCGTAACTCCTGTGCAGCCATGGCCCCTGCGTAGATCTCAGCCTCACAGCTGGAGCTGAGAACAGAAGACGAGCGAGTAGACCGCCACGAAACAGAGCCGGAACCAAGGCTGAAGGTGTAACCCTGTGACGACCGCTGCGTAGCCAGGTCGTCAACCCAAGACGCGTCTGCGTGACCAGTGAGGACCACTG